TTTTTTGAGGATTTTTTGGGAATTTTGGGGGGTTTTAATGGGAATTTTAGAGGAATTTTTTAGGAATTCGCCAGGGATTTTCCAGGAATTTTTTGAGAATTTTCCAGGGATTTTCTGGGAATTTTCCAGGAATTGTTTGGGAATTTTTGGGGGCCTTTTATGGAAATTTTTTGGGAATTTTTTAGGGATTCTCCAGGGATTATCTGGGAATTTTTGGGGAATTTTTTAGGAATTTTCCAGGGATTTTCTGGGAATTTTTCAGGAATTTTTTGGGAATTTTGGGGGGTTTTTATGGGAATTTTGGGGAAATTTTTTAGGGATTCTCCAGGGATTTTCTGGGAATTTTTTGGGAATTTTTTGGGAATTTTTTGGGAATTTTGGGGGAATTTTTTAAGAATTTTTCAGGGATTTTCTGGGAATTTTTCAGGAATTCTTTGGGAATTTTGGAAGGTTTTTATGGGAATTTTGGGGAAAATTTTTTAGGAAATTTTCCAGGGATTTCCTGGGAATTTTTCAGGAATTGTTTGGGAATTTTTGGGTGTTTTTATGGGAGTTTTGGGGGAATTTTTTTTAGGAAATTTTCTGAGGGAATTTTTTAGGAATTTTCCAGGAATTTTTTGAGGATTTTTTGGGAATTTTGGGGGGTTTTAATGGGAATTTTAGAGGAATTTTTTAGGAATTCGCCAGGGATTTTCCAGGAATTTTTTGAGAATTTTCCAGGGATTTTCTGGGAATTTTCCAGGAATTGTTTGGGAATTTTTGGGGGCCTTTTATGGAAATTTTTTGGGAATTTTTTAGGGATTCTCCAGGGATTATCTGGGAATTTTTGGGGAATTTTTTAGGAATTTTCCAGGGATTTTCTGGGAATTTTTCAGGAATTTTTTGGGAATTTTGGGGGGTTTTTATGGGAATTTTAGGGGGAGTTTTTTAGGGATTCTCCAGGGATTTTCTGGGAATTTTTCAGGAATTTTTTGAGAATTTTTTGGGAATTTTTTAGGAATTTTCCAGGATTTTTTTGAGGATTTTTTGGGAATTTTGGGGGGTTTTAATGGGAATTTTAGAGGAATTTTTTAGGAATTCGCCAGGGATTTTCCAGGAATTTTTTGAGAATTTTCCAGGGATTTTCTGGGAATTTTCCAGGAATTGTTTGGGAATTTTTGGGGGCCTTTTATGGAAATTTTTTGGGAATTTTTTAGGGATTCTCCAGGGATTATCTGGGAATTTTTGGGGAATTTTTTAGGAATTTTCCAGGGATTTTCTGGGAATTTTTCAGGAATTTTTTGGGAATTTTGGGGGGTTTTTATGGGAATTTTGGGGGGAGTTTTTTAGGGGTTTTCCAGGGATTTTCTGGGAATTTTTCGGGAATTTTTTGGGAATTTTTTTGGAATTTTGGGGGAATTTTTAAAGAATTTTTCAGGGATTTTCTGGGAATTTTTCAGGAATTGTTTGGGAATTTTTGGAGGTTTTTATGGGAATTTTTTTAGGAAATTTATTGAGGGATTTTCTGAGGATTTTCTGGGAATTTTTTGAGATTTTTTTAGGATTTGGGGTTTTTTAATGGGAATTTTAGAGGAATTTTTTAGGAATTCTCCAGGGATTTTCCAGGAATTTTTTGAGATTTTTTTAGGATTTTTTTAGGAATTTTCCAGGGACTTTCTGGGAATTTTTCAGGATTTTTTTGGGAATTTTTGGGGTTTTTTAATGGGAATTTTAGAGGAATTTTTTAGGAATTCTCCAGGGATTTTCCAGGAATTTTTTGAGATTTTTTTAGGATTTTTTTAGGAATTTTCCAGGGACTTTCTGGGAATTTTTCAGGAATTTTTTGGGAATTTTGGGGGGTTTTTATGGGAATTTTGGGGAAATTTTTTAGGGATTCTCCAGGGATTTTCTGGGAATTTTTTGGGAATTTTTTGGGAATTTTTTGGGAATTTTGGGGGAATTTTAAAAGAATTTTTCAGGGATTTTCTGGGAATTTTTCAGGAATTCTTTGGGAATTTTGGAAGGTTTTTATGGGAATTTTGGGGAAAATTTTTTAGGAAATTTTCCAGGGATTTCCTGGGAATTTTTCAGGAATTGTTTGGGAATTTTTGGGTGTTTTTATGGGAGTTTTGGGGGAATTTTTTTTAGGAAATTTTCTGAGGGAATTTTTTAGGAATTTTCCAGGAATTTTTTGAGGATTTTTTGGGAATTTTGGGGGGTTTTAATGGGAATTTTAGAGGAATTTTTTAGGAATTTGCCAGGGATTTTCCAGGAATTTTTTGAGAATTTTCCAGGGATTTTCTGGGAATTTTCCAGGAATTTTTTGGGAATTTTTGGGTGTTTTTATGGGAATTTTGGGGAAATTTTTTAGGGATTCTCCAGGGATTTTCTGGGAATTTTTTGGGAATTTTTGGGGGTTTTATGGGAATTTTGGGGGGAATTTTTTAGGAATTTTGGGGGGATTTTCTGGGAATTTTTCAGGAATTCTTTGGGAATTTTTGGGGGGATTTATGGGAATTCTGGGGGGAATTTTTTAGGAATTTTAGGGGGAATTTTCTGGGAATTTTCTGGGAATCCAATTCCCAACTTTTTCTCTAGAATTCCAGCTCCCATTCCCACATTTTCCTCTGGAATTCCATCTCCCATTTTCCCTTTGGAATTCCACCTCCCATTCCCAATTTTTCCTTTGGAATTCCCGCTACGATTCCCGATTTTTCCATTGGAATCCCACTTCACATTCCCAATTTTTTTCTTTGGAATTCCATCTCGCATTCCCGATTTTTCCTGTGGAGTTCCATCTCCCATTCCCAACTTTTCCCTCTGGAATTCTATCTCCCATTTTCCCCCTGGAATTCCCACTCCCATTTTCCCTCTGGAATTCCATCTCCCATTCCTGATTTTCTCTCTGGAATTCCCATTCCCATTCCCGATTTCCCCCTGGAATTCCATTCCTGATTTCCCTTTGGAATTCCGGCTCCCATTCCCGATTTCCCTCTGGAATTCCATTTCCCATTTCCCCCTGGAATTCCCACTCCCATTCCCGATTTTCCCCTGGAATTCCATTTCCCATTTTCCTCCTGGAATTCCCACTCCCATTCCCGATTTCCCCCTGGAATTCCCGCTCACATTCCTGATTTCCCCCTGGAATTCCCATTCCCGATTTCCCCCTGGAATTCTGGCTCCCATTGCCGGTTTTCCCTCTGGAATTCCATTTCCCGATTTTCCCCCTGGAATTCCGGCTCCCATTTTCCTTATGGAATTCCATTCCCGATTTTCCCTTTGGAATTCCCATTCCCGATTTTCCCCCTGGAATTCCGGCTCCCATTCCCGATTTTCCCCTGGAATTCCATTTCCCAATTTCCCCCTGGAATTCCGGCTCCCATTCCCGATTTTTCCTCTGGAATTCCGGCTCCCATTCCCGATTTCCCCCTGGAATTCCCATTCCCATTTTCCCCTGGAATTCCGGCTCCCATTCCCGATTTCCCCTCTGGAATTCCATTTCCCATTTTCCCTCTGGAATTCCGGCTCCCATTCCCGATTTCCCTCTGGAATTCCATTCCCGATTTCCCCCTGGAATTCCGGCTCCCATTCCTGATTTTCCCTCTGGAATTCCGGCTCCCATTCCCATTTCCCCCTGGAATTCCGGCTCCCATTCCTGATTTCCCCCTGGAATTCCATTTCCCGTTTTCCCCCTGGAATTCCGGCTCCCATTCCCGATTTCCCCCTGGAATTCCGGCTCCCATTTTCCCCTGGAATTCCCGCTCCCATTCCCGATTTCCCTCTGGAATTCCATTCCCAATTTCCCCCTGGAATTCCGGCTCCCATTCCCGATTTCGCCCTGGAATTCCATTTCCCATTTTCCCCCTGGAATTCCGGCTCCCATTCCCGATTTCCCTCTGGAATTCCATTCCCGATTTCCCCCTGGAATTCCATTCCCGATTTCCCCCCTGGAATTCCATTCCCGGTTTTTCCAGGCCGTTTCCTGCCGTCCTTTCCTGGATCCCGGGCGGGGCGAGGCCGCCCTGCGCCTGCTCCGCCTCCTCCCGCCCCAATTCTCCCACCCAGAGCTGCAGAAAACCTGGGAAGAGGAAATCCCGATTCTCCTGGAGCAGCTGCGAGGTGGGAACGGAATCCCAGGAATTCTTCCAGGAAATATTCCAGGAATTATTCCAGGAATTATTCCAGGAAATAGGGATTTTGGGATGGGAAGGGAAATTTGGGATGAGGAATTTTGGGATGAGGAAATTTGGGATGAGGAAATCCCGCTTCTCCTGGAGCAGCTGCGAGGTGGGAACGGAATCCCAGGAATTATTCCA